TGTTCCCCGTCCAAGCAGGTGCTAATGAGCTCAAATCCAGCCCTCGGGTAAGCGTGGTACCCGCGTGCGGGCGCCCCAAAATTTTTCCCGCGCAAATTCATAACCCGGGGATCTGAGAAGCTAGGAGGCTGAAATCTTGGGGGAGCATTCCCCGCCCAAGCGGGTATTAGTGGGCTCAAACCCAGCCCCCGGGCAAGCGCAAACACCATTGGTCATCAGCCGAGCCGAGCCAAGTTTTCGTAATTGCCGTAATTGCGCGCCAGACTCTGGGTAGTGCTGCCAAGCGCGTTTGGCAAACCCCAGTCGTTCCTGGCAATGTGCCAATTGGCTCCAATCAGTGGAGCTGTGAAATAACGTTGGTAGAGATTGTTAGAGTGCTTCCGAACACTGGCCGTCCACCAGCCGAGGCGGGTTATTGTAGTTGCCGGAAAAAAATGTGGCATAAACATTGTTTGGTTGTCGTTGGCAGTGCGTTTAGTGCATTCGGAATGCGATTTTAAGCCCGTGATAAACTTAAACTCAGTTTTGTAGGTAATTGCCGTGGACAAGTTCCCTTATCGGATGATCACTGAGTTGTGATGTTGAGGTAAAAGTATATAAGCTCTTGATAATCCGTTACAGGATTTTTGATCGAAAATTAGAAATCATCCGTATTCACCTACTATAAAAGGCGGTGTATTCGATGAGGGCCCGGCAGCAACTGCTCTCTGGCAAAGCGTTCTCTTTCGCGAGGGTTGCTTACAAGCAAGCTGATGGGGGTTTGACTGCACCAACATATGCTAGTTGCCAACTTGCTACTGTTAGGATGAAAGAATTGCTGAGTGATCAGTGGCGGAGTGGAGTCCTCGATCTGCTGCTGCTGCACTGTTCCTTCCCACTACGTTACGCCGTTTGGCACGAAATGTGGATCTTCGGAAAAAATTTTTCTGCTCCTTACAAACCACGGTGCTTGTGCAGCCTAGAACCGTATTGTAAAGACAAGCCACGTGCCTGAAATTAGTGCTTTTAAAAAAAAGGGATGCCCTGCGAAAGTGCTTCTCTCGTTGTCTCACATCCGAAGTCTACCAGTTGGCGGTTGTCTCTTCGTTTGTAACTGTCACTGCTATCCTTTGTCCATGGGCCTGGCGTCCTCACCTCCTGTGCTAGGTGGAGCTGAATGTGGGAAGGCGAGGTTGCAGGAAGTGAAGCGTCGCGCTGTTTCGTTTCTTCACTCCTTTTCACATGATAATCGTACAGATTTCAGTCCCGTATATAAAGATGATGGACGAGGACGAAGATGAAGGCATGGAGAGCTTCTCGATCAGTGATCGCGACCTGCACTACGCCATGAATCCAGGCTCTTCGCGAGGACTCTCCAAAAATCAGCAACTTTACGGTAGGCTCTTAAGCACCAGTTCGATTTGTTTTACTGTAACAGGTGTATTTCTCTGGTCCGTTAGCATCATGTGAGTAGTTCGCATTTTTTTGAAAATAAACTTAAAATAATTGCGCGAATCCCTAAAAAGGAGGATACTTTTGTTTCTTCGAAAATTAGGAATTGTCAAAATTTTCAGATTATAGTTTTTCACCCATTTCTGCCCGTTCGGGATGCGGAATTAGTCTGAACTTCGTCCTGAATCTGTTTTTTTGGAGAAATCAGGCGCACATTAACAAACGATGCTCAATTTCTGTTTAGCTCGTTCTGAGCATAAAAAAAAGAATCCCTCAAAGCTGCTGCATGACCTGATAAGACTTCTTTGATCACTTTGCGATCGTTTTTGCGCTGTTTCTGTTGGATTTACTTCATATTATCTAACTACGAGCACATTCGGTTAGCTTAAAGAATTCTTCTTTTGTTTAGCGATGAGCACGATGGATGGTTTTTAGGTATTTGGGCAGATCGAGAGGCGAGTGACGAGGAGGACCTGCCTCACGCAGGTTTCGGATTTGGAGGCGTGAAGAAGCGAGGCAAAAATTATTCCTCACCTGTAACATTCGTCAGTGGTGGTGTGAAGCATGGCAATAAGATCGAAGAAACGGTTTGTTCTGTTTTTTTTTTCAGTAAATTTTCACAGTTTGCGAAATTTGGTCAGTTCTGGTGTTCCCTTCATAGCGCCATCGGTCATGCTATTGACGAGAATGATTAGTCATAATAGTAATTTTTCTATAATAATTTCATTGTGACAATTTTATTAAAATAATTTCACTAATTTTATTAATTTCTTAATTCTTATTTCCCACTTTCCTCTTCATTTTTCTTATTCCGATATACTTTTCTTTTACTGTAATTGAAAAACCACCACCCGCTGCTCGGCATTTTACTAACTCTTCTTTCTTCCCCCTCAGGAGGAAAGGGAGGAGGATGACGTTTACCACCGCTTTTAGTTTGTCTTGTAGGAATTTTGTATGATACCACTTTTGAATGCACAGCTGAGACAGTTACAGTTTATGTTGACGAATTTGTCTGACAAGTGTAATTGAGGATCAACTTCAAAGACCACTGCTTAAATTTACAGGCTGAAAAAGAGGAGGATGACGATGCGTTGATTCTGCTGGAAAGGCCTCGTCGACCGCGCAAGCAGCAGCAGCAGCAGGCCGGTGGAAATGTTTTTGCTGGTCTTCGTATATCGTAAGTTGCTTACCTGTTTTCCCATGAAAAGTTAAAACTCTTCTTGTGCACTCTCTTCTGAGAAGGGGCATTCGAAAGTAGGACAAGTGGAGCACGTGAAACAGCCTCCAGCTGACAAAGACGTCAGTGACGGTTATAAATAAGTAAGCTGACAGCCCCGAGCTTATTCTGTGCTTGTTTCTAAAGTCAGAGATTGGGTTTGGTGTGGTGGAAGTTAATTACTGCCTCTGGGTTGAATCCGCCAGTAAAAAAGCCCTGCACTGTATAGCGGTTCGTTTCAAAGATAGTTGATGGGAACGGGGCCATGCTGGAGGGCTCTTTAGTTTTATTCCTAAGACTTCTAGAAGGGAATAAGTGACAGATTGATCGAGTTTGGTTGCTGTTTGCAAAGCGCTGTTGTTCAGATATCTCCTGAGCACTTCCGTTTCTTCTGGGATATGAAAAAAGGAGCTAAGATGAATTGGCCTTGAAGAATTGGCCTGATTATCAGCACAATACTTTCAAGAACAGTAAACCATGTGTGTATTTGAGGGCTGCGCACAGCACGGTGGATCCTCAGAAATTTGCCGATTGGGCGAAGTATTCCAAATCTGAAGTGATAATGAAAATGATGCGTAAAATGGGTTACGTTCCGGGCCAAGGACTGGGGGCGAACAAGCAAGGCATTGTTGAACCAATACAAGCATTCCTTCGGCCTGGAAGAGCAGCCGTCGGTGCGTATGGAAAAGAAACCAAAGGACCAAAATTTGGAGGTTCTGTTTATTGCAGTTTTGACTTTCTTCACAGGCCAACGGAGCCAGATATCCACTATATTCACAAATTTCAACCAAGGGAATGATAAGCAAGGAAGCTGAACTTTTTGAAAGTATGAACTTCTGTCGTACGTATGGCCATATGAACACAATTTTTAGTCCTGTTCTGTTCGAAAAGCTGAATGCAGCTTTATCCGTTTGTTATGGTATGCCAAATTTCAGAGCCAAAAATGACAGTTCCACTGTACCTTACGAAAAGTGAAATTCCTCGGAAGTACATTTGGTACTCGGAAGTACATTTTATTAATGTTAGCCACCTCTACCAGGGCTATTAATAGCTCTTCCTTCTGTAGGTTTAATAAAGAAGCGGTCTGAAGGCGTGCTGGTTTCAAAGAGAAATTTTTCATTTCATATGAGAAAAGACATTAGATTCGGGTGCATGAGATTCTGTATAATTCCAAGAGTAAGGAAAATTTTTAGAATCTGCTGCGGAGGCGCAAAAACGAGCAACCGGTGGTGCTGCGGAGGAAGATGAGGCTGAAGCACCGACAAAGAGAGGAAACTGGAAGAAAACAGGCGCAAAAAAGGATGTAAAATATCAGTATAAAACTGTTGATGAAGTGATTGCCGAGGGAGGCCCGATCAAACAGCGGTTCGGTGGTGAAAGTACTGGAGTTAAGGTATGCTTTCTTACACAGCATCGGCTACAACTTTCCATTTCCCTTTGTTTTGAGCAGGTCCATCCCCTTATTTCCGCCTTGTGAGCATGGCGCAGTGGCGATTAGTGTATTTCTCGTACTGAGAGTTGAGGATTTGGTCCCTTCGCTAATGCGATCAAACTCCCTACGATTTTTGGTTCGATGATAGATTGGTACTACAGTCAAAAATTCCCTAATTTTACTAATGAGCAACTCTCCAGAGAGGGAGCCCCCTTGTAAGCGTTTGTTTAGAGTTTTTGTGTTATTATTCAAGCTACTTGTGAGTGCATCCGCTTCTCAGAAGGAATAAGTAACGAGGAGAGTAGAAGAACGGATGAGTTAAGAGGCCTCAAACAGATCCACTAAAATGGACTTTTCTTTGCGTTCACTTGTCTTTTGTCAGTGTCATCCGGCGTATCGTCCTGTGCATGCTGTCT